TCATGCGCATGATACCGTTTCATGCGCATTTTATCCCATCAAAATTTCTCTCCTCTCGATCGTTTTTGCCTTTTTTTAATCATGCGATATCATGCGCATGAAACAATTCGTGCGCATTAATGCGCATCATGCGCATTTTATTATAAAATGTGCATTTTTCCCATCTCTAGTTAAAAGTTCACTAAATATTCTAAAATTTTCAAGTATATATACAGCTCATATAGCTAATACATTTTGTATTGATTCTTATTTGAAATATATTTTTCTGATGGCTAATAGATCAATAATTCAAGGTCGTGGGCTATCGCTTTATTGAAAATTTTAATTTTCGTTTTAATGCACATATTAATATTTTAAATATTTGTATTATATTAGTAATCGAATATTCAGAACAATTAGAATTGTATTTAAAGGAGCGCGGTATAAAAAGTTTTGATTTTTCGCAATGTGAGAAACAAATCATAGGAAGTGGTGGATTCGCAATCGTTTATTCTGTAACTTTCAAAGGAACCAAGTATGCATTAAAGTCTCTAAATAATAACTTGCATTTTGATCGTGAAACATTCAATAAATTCAAACGCGAGGTTGGTATTTAATATTTTATTTTATTCGATATACGGTATTCCAAATTCTTAATATTGATTATGCTAAACTCTTAATATATGATTATGCTTAACAATCATGTATTGTACGCACGTACATAGCTTGAGCTTCTACACACCGTCGATCATCCTAATATTATCAAATTTTACGGAATCTCGAGAGGTGTGATGTGAATTTATAAAATATATAATTAATGCTAATGAACATTAGCTCATTTCTAAGCCACAATCGAAAACTTTAGATGTAAGATCAAGTAATTTCATGCTGGTGTTACAATATGCTAATGATAGCAACTTGCGAGAATATTTAAAAGCCAAACAAAAAGATGATCTTTACACAATTAGATGGACAGAACTCATCCGGATAGCATTAGAAATTACATCTGGGCTAAAATATTTGCACAGTAAAGATATCGTTCATCGGGACCTCGTAAGGTTTATTTCATTTTATGGCAATTCAAATTTGATTAGTTGTTTAATGTCGACATTTGAGCTCAGGCTTGAAAGAGGGGATTAAAAGAAGCGTATATATACTAGGAGATCAAACAATACTAATAGAGGTTATATTGAAATTTCGGACAAAAAACACATTTTTGTGAGAATGTTATATTTGAAACTGGTTATTGTTGGAATGTTATATTTGAAAACGAATAATAGTATTTAATGTTATATTATTAGAAATGAATAAATTGTGAAGCTTGCAGCAGGATATATTTAAAGTTTGGATTGCAAGGTAAAAAAAATATAGAAAATTTTGAGAGATTTGAAAAATGAGGAGATAGAAAGGCTATGTTAAATTTTTGATACTGATAAATTAATATAAAGCTCATACGTAAGTAAACATGTAGATTATTCTTACAATATAAAGCGGCTAAAAGGGTAAAAATATTATATTAAAGCCAATATAACCTCTAAGTATTATTTGGGATCCTTATATAACACTTTAAATCTCATTCATTGGTCAACATTATCCCATGATTATTGAAATTGCGCTTGCTTGTTCAATTTCGGGAATTGATGTCATACAACTATTCAATCTTGAACGGTCTAATGTAAAGATGGCTCCGAAAGTGTATACTTTCGAAACTGAAAGTCTATCGAAATGTTTGAAAGCCGAAAGTCCTACAGTAAGCCGAAGTCTTATCGAAAGTCGAAAGTCCTACTGAAAGTCGAAAGTCTTTATTGAAACCCGAAAGTAAAATTCTATTTTTTCATCCGGGTAAAAGTCACTTGACATGTGATTTCGAACATGTACGTGCCACAGACTTCGACAAAGGTCAATTAGGTCGGCAAAGCCTACAATTTTGATACATCAGCACATACTTTTTGATATATCCAAGACCCTAGACTTTTAAATCATGTGGATCTACGGACGCAAAACTTACGATGATACCTGCAATTTTGATAAATCAACAATGCACCCTAAATTTACGTTCTTGATACGATTATCTCCAAGAATTCGAATAAAAATATTTTGATGACATCTAAATATTTTTTTTTTGGGGAGAATCTATTTGTCGCCGGCGGTGACACGGTAACAGTGGCAATTGGTCAATCACGCCACGGGATCAGGCGTACCGTTTGTGTAACCCGAAAACGAAGAAAACATGGAAATTTTTCAAAAATTCGCCATAGATCAAAATTTCGCCTATAAAACCACATTTAGCGTTCAAATTAAAAAAATTCCTTGCAAAATTTACTATACACTATGCCACAACTCAACTCTAACCCTGACTCTAATGATAATTAACTTTAACGTTTGTGTACATGACTGTCACCGTGTCACCGCCGGCGACAACTAGATTTTCTTTTTTTATTTTATTTTACAAAAATGTAAAAAAATCCATCGAATTTGGCTGAGTGGTAGCTGAGATATCTTTTTATTCAAAGTTTTGAACGTCTGTAAAAATAACAATTTTGTAAAATTTGAATGAAAATATCTTAGCAAATACAAGACCAAATTCGATGAAATTTTGTTATTTTGATCCAATAGTTCTGTGGAATCAAAATAAAAAATAATTCTTCAAATTTGGTTGAGTGGTTACTGAGATATCATTGTTCAAAATTTTCCCGCGGCTGCATACGTTCAAATCTTTAAACGAAGTTATCTAAGCAATTACTTGGCTAAATTCGATGTTTTTTTTTTTTGATTCCAACTAAAGTAGAATCTAAATAAAAAGAAAAGTCATCGAATTCGGCTAAGTGTTTGCTTAGAAATTTGAACGTCTGTCAAAATAACAGTTGCGGGAAAATTTTGTAAAACATTGAATGAAGATATCTTAGCAAATACTCAACCAAATTCAATAAACTTCTTTTATTACTTAGTTCTACAGATATGTGGAATTAAAATAAAAAAACAATTCATCGAATTTGGTTGGTTCGTTGATGAGATATCTTCGTTCAAAGTTTTAGACGTCTGTCAAAATAATAGCCGCAGGAAAATTTTGAACAACGATATCTCAGCAACGACCCAAATTCGTTGAATTATTTGTTTATTTTGATTCCACAAATCTGTATAATTAAAGTAAAAAAAAAGGGTAATCAAAGTTGGTTAGATATTTGCTAAGACATCTCCGTTCAAAGTTTTACAAAAATTTTCTCGCGGCTGTTATTTTGACAGATGTTCAAAACTTTGAACGATGATATCTTAGCAACACTCAGCCAAAATCGATAAAATTTTTTTATTTAGACTCTATGTCTTTTTCGATTTTAAACCAGGTTTGCATAAGGAGAGTTTCTTCCTGCGTTACGAATACAAAGTAAAATTTCCAATTATATTATATAATTGGAAATGTTACTTTGTATTCGCAGTGCAAGAAGCTCTCCTTATGCAAACCAGGCTTACACTCGGCACATCTTGACGCACTAAACAAGGTAGGGCACTGTTAAAAATCGAAAAAGACCTCTGCTAATTCTACATATATGTAGAATCAAAATAAAAAAAAATTATTGAATTTCTTTGGATAATCATAGAGATCGAAATTTTATGAAGATAGTCGCGTCAAAAACGCAACACAAATTTAGGGTACATTGTTGATCTGTCAAAATCGATACTGCAGATCTATCAAAATTGATACTTTTGCCGCACCAGGGGTAGTTGAAATTACATGTCAGATGACTTTTACTCGGTGAAATAGAAATTTGACTTTCGGTAAGACTTTGACTTTTGGGTTTGTACTTTCTGTAAACCGAATTTACCGAAAATATTTCAGCACGCCAAATACGCTCGGAGCCATCCATAATCTAAGTTCTTATTTAGTTTTAATGCTAATCCTGTATATTAATATAATTATCTAGCATTCCAAGAATATTTTGATGAATAACGGCAATGTCTTAATTGCTGATTTCGGAATTTCAAAGCAATTAAATGATTCCATTGCCACTTCATCCTCCGGAATAAAGGGTTTGCTTGCATACATTGATCCATGTTATATTCGTGACAAAGAAAAAACTGTCAAACGTGATAGACAATCCGACATAAAATCCGACATATATAGCTTGGGAATATTATTTTGGGAGCTTGCAAGCGGAGTTCCTCCATTTAGTGAGTTTTCTAATTTAAATATTCTCGTAAAAATTTTACGAGGAGAAAGGGAAAAGTCTATCGACAATACACCATTAGGTTATGCTAATCTTTACGAGAAATGTTCGTCATTCAATCCTGACCAGCGCCCAACAATAGATGAAATCTTAAATGAACTAAAAAACTTATCCTCAATTACTATAGAGTATATTACATCTTGCATAAATAAAACAGCTTTCATCAATAATATTGGTCAAAGTACACACCAAGAGTCTATTAACTCTTCGCATCATGACAAATCTATGTCTTCACATACTAAAGACACTATTTCTTCACATACTGAGGACACTATTTCTTCACATACAGAGAACCCTATTTCTTTGTATACTGAGAACTTTACTTCTTTGCATACTGAGAACTCTACTTCTTTGTATCCTGAAAATTCTGTTTCTTCCGGTTCTAAAATTGAAAATGAAGATGTTAGTATTTTTTTTTTAAATTTTAACGATATAGAATATCTAAATCAAATATTTAATTAATGTAAAACTAGGAAAACATAGGTAAGTTCCCACTGAAATGTTTGAAATGCTGAAGTACTTTGGTGGATTAATCAAAACTCTGAAAATTGTAATTAAAAAATTTAGAGCATAATTTTATCAAGTAAATTTGTGTTCGAGACTTAAATAAACTTATTCCTTGTCTATATTACATGAGTGCCATCAAGGGAAGAAATCCTGTCACCAGATTTCAATTTTATTTTATTTTGGACTCCCAATTATTCATTAAAAATCTGATCAGCGACATATCATACATTACGTATAAAACGTGCTGGCCGGATTTTTCATGGATGAGTCCTGAAGTCCGGAACGAAATACAATTGAAAGCTCAATAACAGGTTTGCCCTTGATGGCACTCATATACAAACTTCCATTGCACAGTAATTTAAAATTTCACAGTTTGGTTATTCTTAATTAAAACCTTTTGCTTCATAAAGCCAAAAGTCGCACTTTAGCAAGATATGTCAATTTTTAACTCTTGACAAAACCTAATAAAAATATAAACTAGCTATGAAATAGGTTTATACTGCTTACCATAAAATGCTGACTCTTATATCTGGGTATATACATTGCTAGTATTGTACCCAGGGTACTGAAGCAGGGAGGATACATTGTATTGGTGGTGGATATAAAATTCAGAATACGTATTTTGTAAATAATTAACATCATACTGTAGAGTCAAATAAATTAATTAAAATTTTCAGATTATATATAGTATAGATGGGCATATGATATATGTGATGACTAATGATGTGACAAATAGATATATTACACAAAAAATATATGAAATTTCTATAATACTATATGGTTATCATTTATATTTTTATATTACACCCCCTGTTATATATAAAAAAACTAACCCTAACCTACTAATCTATGTTTGTTGCCCACCTATACTATAAATCAACCAAATTTTTTTATGATTAATGTTATAATGTAAAGTCAAATAAATTTATTAAAAATTTCTGTCATATTGTAGAGTCAAATAAATTAATTAAAAATCAACAAATAAAAATTATAAAATTTTCTAATTTATAATAGTATTATATTGTAAAGCTGAATAAATTTATTAATAATCGGTATATAAGAACTACAAAATTTTTTGAGTATTTACTAATGGTTTTAAAGAAAATAAATATGAAATGGGCTCATATAACTAATAAGATTCATTAAAGTTGGTGTGTTAATGAAAAGCTTATGGTTGTTTATTATTTTGAATGCATTAAGAATGTGTAAAAAACAGCTAAAGAGTTTGAAATTGAGTATAAACAAGTTCATAATTGGCAAAAAAAAACAAGAACTTCTAGATACTTTACCTTATGCTTTATCACTTCATCCTAGTCATTCTGCACAATATTCAATTCTTGAAGAAAAGCTTTATAACTGGGTTAAAGAATTATGTAATAGACAAAATGCAGTAATACAAAATATGACAATCCATATAGCGAAGTTGTTATCACAAGAGGAAAAAATCAAAAATACTTACCCTAATCTTAATGAATTTAAATTTTCTGATCAGTGGTTGTATAGATTTTTACATTATTATAATCTTTCAAACTGTTGTTATACACTACATCACAACATCTTTCTGAAGATTATATTAAAAAGCAAACTAAATTTTTAAGCTTTGTTGTATTTAAGTGTTATCAATATGCATTTCCTCTAAAATATATTGGAAACATGGATGAGACTTTAATGGCATTCTATTCACCTAGCTCGGTAACTCTTGAAAATGTGGTAATAAAACAGTTAGTATTCATATAACTGGGCATGAAATAACTTGTTTTACTGTAATCCTTGAATGTCTTGCCGATGGTACAAAACTTCCTCCAACCTGCATTTTTAAGTTAAAAAATGTTTCTCATGAAATTTTTCCTGTTGGTATTGTTATTGTTTCTCATGAAATTTTTCCTGTTGGTATTGTTATTAGAGCTAATCAAAGTGGGTGATGTAATGAAAATAAAATGAATTACTAGATAAATATGGTTTGGACTCAACACAATGAAATGAAAAATCTGACCTCATTACTGATTTTAGATTCATTCAGAGGTCATATAGTAGATTCTGTCAAAGAAAATTTTGGACAAAAAGAGACTCATATTGCTGTAATTCCAGATGGATTAACATGTAAACTTCAACCTTTGGATGTTGCTATCAATAAATGCTTTAAAGGAAATGTAAGTAAACATTTTTTATATTCATAAAATATTTAAAATTTTTAATATTTGTAATTATAGGTATGATGTTGTTACAATGATTGGATGGCCAAAGAGATTCATCAATTAACTCCTACTAGACATATTTGCAAACCAGCATACTCAATTGTTGCACAGTGGGTTAAAGAATCTTGGGAAGAAGTTAGTTCTGACTTAATTAAGAAGGCATTTAGCTGTTGTGGTGTTTCTGTGGAGATGGCTCAAGATGAACCAGAAGATGAAGATGATTATTTAATAAATACAGATGAAGCTCATATTGATGAAGTTACAATAATTGATAATATCGATGAAGAATTGTATGAAGAAGTGGAGGGTTATAAAAATAATTGGAAAATTAGCATTAGCATTGTGCAACTTTGAAATATATTATTAACGTTAGTATTAAAAACTGATATAAATAAATTGTGCAGCTTGCAATATACGTATTATTTAATAAAATTTTTTTGCTAAATTGTCTATCTGTTATGCTTAAACTGTATACGTATATGTACTATGCAGCATAGTGCTTAATTGTTACATGATCAAAATTATGAAATCACATTGGACGTTAATTTTTACATAAATTATAATATGTGACGATTACGCACCATACTGCATAGTGCCCATCTCTATGTATATAGCATATAAGAAACTCGTAATTTTCGGTAAATCACGGGTTATAACATTCGTGTGATTGGCTAATTGATGTAGATCCAAACGTGATTATTAACCAATCAAATCAATTAAAAATTCTTCCGATACGCGAAATACGCGAAAAACTGAATTTATTATTAACAAAAGCAAAGCATTTTTAATACTAAAGTAAATTTGATTCTATTTTTCAACCATTAGATTTTACTGAAACGCGCTACATCCAACATGGTACTACTCTATAGTCTATACTACTGTAATTAAATCACACCATCGTATTTATTATACTTCATATTAGAGACAATTTCTTTTTTGTTTGATATATAATACGTATATGTGTGTCGTAGTTCGGGTAAAATAAATCGTGTTAAAAGTATTTATATTGCGTAGCCTGTTGAATAAATGTAAAGTTTTTTATGTTAGTATCACACTCACGGTTTAACAATTTATAAATCTATTGTTTGGCTTCATAATTTAAACGTAGTAGAAGCTCAATAAACTTAGCCAATTACCAAAAGCCCTACCTTTGTTCTTATGAAAACTTTCTGGGGAAAGCGATTGAAAACGATTAGAAAAGATTTTCTGCTAGAAATACTCAAAACGAAGAAATTTTACTTATAAATGGGGGTACCTTGAGTTTAACTTATTATGGTTAAACGGACGGTGAAATTGCCGGTTTTTAGACTACAATCGTATATCAAATTTTCAATTGCCCATATAAATAATTTGTGTAACGGTCATTTCGGAATCTAGTTTCGGTTTATATTTACATGTATTTCGCTTTTTACCCTACGTTGATATAATAATTTATCGAGGTATTTTAATTTGAATGTAACCCAGTTCTTGTTCTAAAAATAGATTGACAGCCAAATCTGATTGGTCAGTCAGTGTTTTATAATCACATGACGTTCCCAGGGGCAAGTTAGCAATAGTTTATTTCGTATATGATCGTTGGCATTTCCCATGCAACCAATCCATAACTATAAATATCTACAAAATAACAAAAAGGATTTGTTAATCGCAAATATAAAAATAATAATATCGTAAACTTTCATTAACTTTTAAAATATTTTTTCATTTCTGGATCTTCAGAAAATTTTTCTGGCGCAGTCCATCGTACAGAAATTATATGACCCAATTTTTTAAGTAATTAACTTACCTATATTATCTAAATTTCCATTTTTGATATAACCGAAGCTACCAATCTTTAATTCGAAGTTTTTATCCACCAAATATTTTCTAAATTTATTCAAATGTATAATTTTATGGCGATGGAACAATCCTTCTGCAATATTAATGGACTTTTTTTAACTTTATATCCCACTCAAGGGAATGGTTTGAAAGATACTCATGCAAATTTCCATTTTCTGCGTGATCCGTAATCAAAAATTTTGTTATTTCATTTGGTAACACTGTTATCCCGCGGAAGTTGCATTTTTGCAGTAAAAATAATCATGCTAATTGATATTTCTTTTCTTATGTTATCGATTGTTTACGGTTTTTGACTACAAAAAACACGATTCATTAATGTGATATATTGTTATTTCTTTGATTGAAATTTATAGCCAACCTTGATTTTATTATATTCCGCAGGCTTGATAATACTAAATGCTCCTTTATGGGGGTTTCTCCCGGTATTTGCTTAATTTTTTTTCATATGGAATAAAATCTTCGAATTTTTTGCTAAAATAAACATTCTAAAATAGGATCATTGAAGTTACGAATGAAAAATAACTGTATATTTTTGTTCTATTATGACTTTAAAAAATTTTAAGTAAGCCAATATCATAGGAAGAAATTCGTCTGATTGGTTAATTTTTGTGGGTCTACTGATCACCGTGATAATTAACCAATCAAATTATATAATTTTAAAATTTTGCTTGTTATACATGATATACTAAGAAACGAAAAAACTTCACGTAAAGAAGCTTATAAATTCATTCATACACCAAAAAATTAATTAATCCCATATATGTAAAGAATAGGTAAATACACGTAAAGCAGAGTAAAAGTGGTATTTATTATTGATAAAGCCAAACTTATTAATACAATATATTGATATATACAATCTATAAACCAAAACCCTTTAAAATAAACCCAAACGTAACTGCAAAACAGAATATAGCCAAGTATTAAACATGGAACTTCTTCTATTATAAGCTTATTTCTATTAAACCAAATAATTAATAATAAAAGTTTATTCAAATCCAATATAATAAGTCAGTTTTGAACAAAAACGCTTTCAGTTACCTCATTCTAAATGCAACTTGGCATGGTCCAACAAACAGCAAGAATATTTTGTAAGTTTTTCAGTTTTTGGATTATTTTTGGATTATTTTGTATAGTGAATAAAGACGTTCTTCTAGAGTTGTCAATAGTGTTTGCGACGAATTTTTGTTAGTGAAACATCACATTCTTAAAAAGTACTTTAAACCACATAAATAAGTTACCCGGA